AAACTGTCAAAAGTTAAAGATAATAAGAAAATTTAATTTTTAAACAGTCCAAAAACATCAAGTCATATATAAAGTAATCCCATTAGACTAATAGCAGATTTATCAGTAGAAACTTTACAGGCCAATAGAGAATGGGGTGACTTATTCAAAGTGGTGAAAAAAAACAACTGACCAGCTGAGAATATTGTACCCAGTATGCTATTCTTCAGAAATGAAGGAAAAATAAAGGCTTTCCCAGAGAAGCAAAAGTTGGGGAAATTCATCACCATTAGACCAGCCTTACATGAAATGCTTAAGGGAGTTGTACATCTAGAAGCAAAAGGACAATAACTACCATTGAGAAAACACACAAAAGCATAAAACTCATTGGTGGAGCAAATATACAAATGAGAAAGAGAAAGGAATCAAACCTTAGCACTATCAAAAACCACTAAACAGCGAAGATAAACAATAAGAGAGGAAGAAAGGAGCAAGGATATACAAAATAGGCAGGAAACAATAGAATGAAAGGAGTAAGTCTCTGCACAGTGATAATAAATTTGAATGTAAACAGATTAAATTTTCTATTTAAAAGATATAGATTAGCTGAATGGATTCAAAAAATGACCAAACTATATGCTGCCTACAAGAAACTTATCTCAGCTGTAAAGACAAATAGACTGAAAGTAAAGGGATGGAAAATGATATTCCATGCAAAAAGAAAAAAAAGTGAGCAGAAGTAGCTACACTTGTATCAGATTAAAAAAGACTTTAAGTCAAAAACAGTACAAAGAAACAGAGAAGGTCATTACATAATGATAAAGGAATCAATTCCTCAAGTGGATATAATAATTCCAAACATGTACAAGCATAGCACCCAGATATATAAAGCAAATATTATCAGATCTAAAGGGAGAGATGGAATCCAATGCAATAATAGTTTGGGGCTCAACCCCCACTCTCAGCATTAGACAGATCATCTCTGTAGAAAATCAACAAAGAAAATTTGGATTTAAACTTTATGTTATATCAAATGGACCTAAGAGACATTTGCAGAACATTTCGTCTAATAGCTAAGGAATATGCGTTCTTCTCTTAAGCACATGGAACATTCTCCAGGATAGAGCATACACTTAGGGCACAAAACAAGCCTCAACAAATTTTCAAAATTCAAAATCATATCAAGTATCTTTTCTGACCACAATAAAATAAAACTGAAAATCAATAACAAGGGGAACATTGAAAACTGTACAAATACATGGAAATTAAACAGCATGTTCCTAAATTGTCAATGGGTCAACGAAGATATCAAGAAGAAAATTTTAAAATTTCTCAAAACAAATGAAAACAGAAACACAACGTAGCAAAAC